AAATTATTGACTGTACATAGTCTGGGTTTGACGCATGACATGACATAGTATTTCCAATTACTTTTTTTTGYTATTTTAATACTAAAATACAGATTGTTTTTTTTTTCTACATAGCAATCCATTTTAATTACAATCATTGAATTATTGTGCAATAAGCTTTTTCCTTTTACAAGAATTTGATAGTACACTAAAGTACACTTCCAATGGTCTAAATATAGAACAGATGGCCTAAATATAGCATATATATATGGTGTTACGTGAAACAGCCAAAACTAGCTGATGTCAGAATTATTCAAATACTAATACATGTACATGATATATGATACTGATATATGTAGTCTGATCATGTTCTTCTAAGACGTGATCAAACTACGTACAGTATAATAATTAATCCTTTTACCATAACTAATGACTGTTGTCACTGGTCATACAAAAACATCAAATATGTATCATAATCTGTCTTTAGGCTGCTTTATTACAATAACGTACTAAGCACACTTGCACGTTTTCTATTTCATTAACTACTGTACACAAAGATTGCTTTCAGGGGCAGATCCAGGGGTGATGAAGGGGGTGAATAGTCCCTTTTCCTCATATTCCTGGTAAAATCTTTGTAATAGCACCCCCTTCTAAAACTCCTGGATCTGTCAGTGCTCTGTCAGTGATAAAAATAATTGATATAAAAAAGATATGTAAAACATATAAACAGGTAGTGAATCTTCTGAGAATGGCTTTGGCATGTTAATCTAGGTCGACTAACTTTGCTCTACTGTGCATTTTTACATGTCTATATGAATATATAATACACATTTCAGAGTACCCAAAATCCTTTTCGGTGTTAGCTAGCTTTCATGATATGACCTTCTCGAACCRGACAACGTTTTTTCAGTTTGGTGTACCTTCATCATCAAGTATGGATGTCATTGTCACTCTCTTCATGGTGGTGATCTAATGGTGAATAATATAATTCTAATATTGTCTGCGTGTACTTTCATNTTCATCATCAAGTATGGATGTCATTGTCACTCTCTTCATGGTGGTGATCTAATGGTGAATAATATAATTCTAATATTGTCTGCGTGTACTTTCATCATCAAGTATGGATGTCATTGTCACACTCTTCATGGTGGTGATCTAATGGTGAATAATATAATTCTAATATTGTCTGCGTGTACTTTCATCATCAAGTATGGATGTCATTGTCACTCTCTTCATGGTGGTGAT